TTCTCTTTCACTATGTTTTCCTATTGGAGGTGTTCTGTATGTGTTCTTTGTTCCAGAAAACATGTATCACCTAGGAACTGCAGGTGAAAAATTAGCATTCTTATTTACAGAAGTGCTACTGTATGCTTTGCTCCAGTAATAAATAAATAAAAATTAAAAAAACAAAGGGTTACTAAGATAGTATATTATGACAATTAAATATAAGTATTCAAATAAATTATAAAAGTATCAATAAATTGAATTAAATTTTTTTTATATATTTTTCAACTCCATTGAAATTTGTCCCAAATTTTTGCCATTTTGTCAACTCCAGAGTTTTTAACCGAGTGTGACTTTTTCCAGTGGTAGTGTTGACAAATCTCACTTAAATGTGCAGTTAATTCATTTTAATGTATTTTACATAAGTTGCATTACTTCACATGTATCAAGTATTTCTTTTTACTCACTAGTTTGTCACCACCTTCAGTTCTGCGTCAACTCCATCAGATGGACTTTGTTGTTTTTTGTTTAAAATATTTCTTTTGGTTTCTGGAGAAGCATTTGTCTTTAAAACCAAGTAGAAATATCACTAATAAGGTCACTAAAAATTATTTTATATTTATTTTTGTCAGATGGTGTTGACAAAGTTCTGAGTCAGGTCCACTAAAAAATGTTGCAACTGGGAGCCTGCACCTTAGCATCTTTACATTTCTAAAACATTATTTGTCATAGTTGAATACATAAGCTTGAGGAATAATTAAAATTTGGGGGGAATTTAAACCCATTTTGTCCCTCTTCTCAAGAATCACCGATTATATACATTGCAGTTGTGTTCAAAATAATAGTCCCACATCACTAGCCAGATAAATCACTGGTTTTGTTTGAATTTCTTCTACATTACAAACATGTTTTCAGGTGGTTTAGCAGAGTATAGAAAACCAACAGACGTGATGTGCATGGTGCCGATTCTTTGAAACTGAATCATTTACTGAAAGGGGTGTGTTAAAAAAATGGTGCCAAGATCAGTTAGTGAGGTCACTGATTATGTGAAAAAATGTGTTAAGCAGGTGACCCTTAAAGGATCAAGGCAACTGACGTTGCATATGCTGGATGTGCATTTGTCTTTGAAAAACTGAGTAAAAGGGTCACTGAAGACACTGTTCAGAAGAAGAGCACTGTTTGATCAAACCATTTTTCCCCTAATAAAAGAGGGGAAAACCTATAAAGAAGTGCAGAAAATGACATGCTGTTCATCTAAAATGATAACACTTTAAAATGGCAGCCAAAACCAGAAAGGCAAGGAAGAAAAAGAAAAACTAATAATCAGAGATTCATGTGAAGCCAAGCTACCAGCAAGAAACCCATTGTGGAAAAAATTGCTGCGCTGAAGAGGTTACAACTTGAAAAACATATTTGACTGGGCAAAAAGGAAATGGAGTAATATTTTGTGGACTGATAAGAGTAAGATTGTTCTTTTTGGGTCTAAAAAGTATTTTTTTTTCTTTTTGAAAAAAGTAATTGTATATTATTTTATAGGAAGTCAAATACAATGTTCAAAAAAATTGCAGTGTTGACATCTTTACAAACTCAAAAAGATACTGTATAAACTTAGAAATGCTGTAAGATTCAACTTTCCTGAGAATCATAAAATATTTAGTTGCATAACCATGGTTTCTGATAACTACTTCACATCTGTGATCCATGGAGTTGACCAACTTCTGGCACCGGTCAACAGATATTGCAGCCCAGTACAGTCGTACTACATTAATTTACTAAATTTTTTTTATTTTTGCCCTCCTAGTCACTCAGAGTGCACAAAAAATCCCTTAAGAAGAAACCACCATACCTCTTGTGATTTCTGTCTTGGTTCTTTTTAACAAACTAGTCGTCATAACAAAACTGCATTTGGGATTTGGCCTCAAACAATCATGTCTAACTATATTTATACCTTGCATATCCAAAACTCTCTCACTGAGGCTTATAGAGTGCTTAAGTCAGAATTATGCAGTCTGGATGGAGAACTGTTTGGTATTACAGTTCTTCAAACAGAACCATGACAGAGTCAACTTTCTTTATGAATACAAAGCATTTAAACACAAATAAATCAGTCAAACTCTGGTAGGGACCGATCAGCTTGAAATTTAATCAACATTTTGTCCAGTCATACAGCTAGTAAATGTCTTATTTCTCCAGTTACTCTGTTGAGTCCAGTTCCAAGAAAGTTGTTTTATGAAAGGCTACCACAAGTTTTACTTTATAGTCTCGTATCTCAGTTAAGGAATTTCACTAACTGAGATATGGGCTCCAGAAAGAAGAAACATTTATGGACTCAGACTGCTTTAATGCAATATTCCAAAGTCTAGATAAGACTGACTGGTAACAAGGTTCTCTCAAACCAAGGCTTCTACACAGTTAAATATTTATCCTAAAATGACAACCTAACTTTTCCTTTCGTGTAGAAGTTTTATTTGTCAACATGATACCTAAAAACTCTGTGGCAATGATAGGACTGGTGAACAAGTCTGTGACTAATTCTTTACAACCCGAGTTGTTTTTTGCACAAGAAAAGCCAAATGTTGCACAACCCATTCTGGCACCACCTCAGCCCAGCCTTTGTCAATCAAAGGACTGCTGTTAGAGTCCTGAAAGGAAGTAGTCACCGTTACCATGGCAGAATGCTTGGGGTCGAGATCATGAGTTTGCTCTGATTTAATGGAAACAGAACCAAAACTAGGAAGTGTTGTTCTGGTGCCAGAATCTTTTAACTTTCCTTCAGCTGGTAGTAGAGTCTGAGGAAGAGTTTGGTCTGTAGAGCCAGAAGTAACATCCAACTTCCCATCATTACAAATCAGGTTCCTGAGCAAACGTAGATGAGTGTGTCCTGTCGGTAACCCTTTGACCAGTAGATCAGCATCTCCATCCAATCCATTACCGCTTACAGATTCTGTTGCTCGGACTGGTGTGTGGCGAGTTGTGGTCAGAGCCGATTTATCAACACATTTGACCCATTTTGACCACAAGTCTAAATCCACCTCAGGTATAACCTGAGGTGACAATCTAACAGAACTATTTCTGACATTAACAGAGCTAAACTCCTCAATACCAACAGCACTAGATATTGCGCCATGTCCCTCATTATAATTATGTTTTTCCTTGTGGGAGGCACTATAAGCATTCGTACAACTAACACTGTGACTATGTGGACAACGAGTAGTGATGGCATCTTCAGAAGAAGAAACATTACCAGAAGAACTTTGAGTGCTTGGATTATACTCTATGCCATAACTACCATTTTCTTGTGTACCTGAAGCATCTGAGCTTTTATTGACAATGGCTAACCTAGACACAGAATTTCTAAAATCTAACCCCTCCTCCCCAGCCTGAGCAGTTTCATTGTGTGATCTAGCTTCATCTGACATGTGTGTTGGAAGCATTTTCAGCTCACCGTCTTCATTTTTCAGGTTCCTGGCTTTTTTCTCAGTCTGCTCTTCTGCCTTTTCCTGTCCCAGGATCACCACCTGTCTCCATTCTATTCTGCCAGCAACAGACTTTTCATCTTTAAAACCACTTCTGTCCTGTGGAAAAGCCCGACTATCTTCCACATTGTCTTTATTGGTCACTTTTTGATCCAAATATTCTCTTTCCTCAGCTTCAAAAGATCTCTGTCTTGCAGTAGGCTTCTCCAACTTTTGATCAACAAGCCAGCCTGAACTTCTGACATGGTTCTTCACAGCTGTGGGAAAGAAGACAACCAAATAAACTCAAAGATATAAGGTCATGGGTCTCATTCAATAAATGGTAGAGGAATGATTCAATATCATAAATCATAATTTGCAAACTTACACATGTCTGTGTCAGTGCACACAGAATCACAGCAGGAACACACTGTGGGGGAAGTCAACATTTCTTCCCACCTACATATCAAACAGAAAATTCTGTTCATTAGTATGTTAAGTATATTTTACTCAGTGAAATATGGTGACAAAATACTTTTTCTGAATTTCATTGTGGAAACAATGAACAGACAACATGTCTGCTGCCACGTTGTTGCAGATGATTTAACAGGTCATGTCACAATAAAAATGTTCTGCTTGGAAACACTACAGTCGGAGGTTCACATGAATCTTTCAATACAACTTACAAAATTAAAACAGTAACATGACTCCAGTGGCCCAGCATACACAACAGAGGGTGGAGCAGGGCTCGAACCAGCAACCTGCCGATTGCAGGCCAAGCTACCACTGTAGCTACCATCGTCTTACCAATTTCCAAACATTATGAAAGCCTAGGCTTAAATTCAAATCGGTAGACGAGGGTTAGGGTTAGGGTTACTCATCATCAAAACTTTCTAACTGCAGCTTTTTCTGTGCGAGTCTCTCCAGGTTGAATTGATAGCGAAAGGCACAACTTCAACATATTATAAATAATTGGGTTCAATATTTTTTTTCTGTCTAGCTTCAGTGTTCAAGAGAAGGCTCAAATCCAAGAAAATCAAACCACCAATGAATAAGTATTGAACGTCTGATGTTCAGTTCAGTACTGTGGTCCCATGTCATACATTAGATCAATAGACATACTAAAGCAATTTTTAACTATTAGCAAAATTGTCACTGTCAGTATATATATATATATATATATATATATATATATATAAAATTAGATTAATTGTAATTTTCTTCAAAGTCACTAACCTGCCAGTTGCCTTGTTGAAGTTACAGGACTTTGCGATGCTTGAAGTGCTCAGACCGACTGACAGTGTACAGTGGAGGTGCTGCACCTGCAGACAATGTGGGTGGAAACCATGAACCTTCTCAGGAGGACAGAAAGCATGGGATTCTCCAAGATGGCTGCCGATGACGCTGCTAGATTCTATGCAAACATCTACATGTTCCAGACGAGAACTGAAGCCTATGGTACTCATTCAAAGCTTTACAAGTGTAAAAGCATGCTCTTTAGAAATCCAAGTTTTAAAGTTTCCACCCATTGATTTCAGAAGGTGTTTCATCAGGAAAAAGGCTATTTTTAATTCCACACCTCTGTGTGTACTTAGTGACATTTTCTCCTGCTCCTTTCATTTCCTCAGAGAATTGACCTGGAGAAGTCAATACATTAAACAAACTGTGAACCTTACTTGTGAGACTCCTCTAAACAGAAAGGCATCCACTGAGAACTTCACCACACTGCCACCTCCTGACAGGAACTGAGAACTGCTGCCCTCCCTCCTGCTGTCTGTCATGCAACTGCAACGATAAACTAAAATCAGGAAATAGCCAAGCAAATGCCACAGTATGTGTATGTTGGCTGGTGCATACCCGTAATTGGTGATGATATCCACTTTAGGCAAGCTGCTTGGATCTTCAGAACTTGTGGCTTGACAGGAATCCACATAAAGCCTCTCTCCAGCCAACAGAGTTCCCGCTTGAGCCAAAAAATAAACTTGCTCTCCTAAATAGAACGTATGACCTGGAGAAAGGGGCTCCCACTGGGCTAATACAAACAGAAGACAATTTTCAATTTACACATATCTCAGATCATTTGGCAGACATATTTCAGCTTAAGTAAACATATTAAATTAGGATTTTTGCACAGACATGTGAATCTGAAAGCTTAGACATCTATTCACCAAAAGAAAGCACACAGAAGAAGTTATTCAATTTAGATGTAATTGTACACATGCCAACCAGCAAAAGGGAACAAAATGATATTTACAAAGAGCTGGCATCTCCAGAACAGAGCTAGACTGGACCAGAGGCCCAATACTGGAACCAATAGGAAGAGTTTTAGCCCGTTCCCATGATCCCACAGGGAGTAAAGGGTAAAGAATTCTCTTCCCAAGCAAATATTTTCTCCTATAAGTGCTTCACTTTTTGGCCAGTGAGATACACCTTTTGAAGACAGACTTTAAATGTACATTTTAGTAGTTAACAAAATCTGCAACTTACTTTAAATTCCTTTCAAAATAATCTCAGAAATAAAAAAAATCTGAAAGCAAAATTCTGAAGATAAAAGATACCCACCATTACAGACAGTAAGGCTGAAAGTTAGTTTACTCTTGATACTCCTCAGAAAAGTTGTGTGTTGGACTTGTGGTCTATAACCAACTTTGTAAGAGTAATGAAACCTGAAGCACAAGAAGGTTCATATCATGTCAGAATGACAAATGGGAAATAAATAAGAAGTTTGTTTAAAATCAGCTCATTATGCAACAGCATCTTTAACACATCATAACATGATTTGAGCCATGTCCTTGCTTATAACTGGATATTTATGATTGCTACAGTGTTTTGGTTCTTTGTACAAATAAAACTGAGCTGAATTAAGATACTTGTTCTTCATTGAACTGATCATTAATCATGAACTACTTTGTGGTTTGGAAAAGTGTTTTTCCACTTCTGTTTCCTTAATGTAGCTTTCTAAGAGTTCAACAAAAATTGTAGTTATCAATAATTACCTGTTATAATAGCAGTGGATAGGAAGATTAATTGGAAAAACTCTAATGACATAGCCTTGTGAGGGAGGAGTGTAGTTCAACAGGTAAGAATACACCAGCTGACCACCAGAAACCTGGAAAGAAATAAAAAAAGACCTTAAGATTTTTACACAACACATTTTGTATCCAGTCAACAAAACAAGCAGGAGAAAATGCCACAGAAGAATAGAGGTTTGTGACATGTGGGGTCTTTGGTTTTGAAGAATTTTTAAGTTTTGTAATATTCCAATATTACTTTGAGTTGAAAACTGGAACAACTAATATGCTAAACTAAATAAAAATTAATCGTTTTAGAAATGGATTATAATTCATATCAATGCAACCATAGAACTGCAAACTAACATGTAGCTCATTTAAGTGTATTTTAGTGTCTTGGGTATTACTGAAGTAATCAATACGTAATCTTTAAGAAATCAATTCAAAGCATGAAACTGACACATTCATTATGCAGACATGTTAATTTTGTGCTTTAAATTGAAAACTATTTATTAGGCCAACTGAAAAGGACTTCATGTAAGTTGGTCTATGCAATTATGGAAAGAAATGTCATCAATGTTTTAGCAGAAAATCAAAGATAGCTACAACAGTGAGCAGAAGATGGAAAAAGTTAATGCTTAGGAAGCCGTCTGTTCAGAGCCATCCAAACATGTTCATAAAATGTTTAGTGGAAGAAAGAGTGTGATTGGAGAGCAAAGGTTGTGTTTTCTTTGTGAAACACAACCTATTCAAGAGTTTGATGAAGTTTTACAAGATGCCTACTGCAGCTGCAGTCGGTGTTTCAATGACTTTCCAGTACATGAACTAAAATTGTTGCAGTCGTTTTTTAAAGCCACTCTTAATCCAGAGACAGCATCAATAGTGTAAGAAACAGCTAACGAGCTCTTCAGCTTTTTCTAGAAAAACAAGACTATTATAGAATGCTCCAGTAAGATGGAAATCAATGCCCCAGACTCTGCAGCAGAGTGGAGAGGTTACTTTAGGTCCACTATATTTGGAGAACAATGTGACCCGCAGGCTGTCATTTCACCAACTCCAAATTCAGCGCTGTGCAGTTTATGCTTCACTCTGCTGACAAATGTTATTTTCAAGCAGGACCTGGAACCTGCCAAATGAACCAGTAGCTGATTTAATGAGCAAACATGCCAAACCCAAAGCCCATGGAGAGAATTTTCTCTACAATCAGATGTTTCAGTCAGCATTTCAGTCACCTTCTTAAGAATGTTTTGGCTGACTACTTTTTGCTTCAACTTAACAATGAAGTAATGCCATTTACTTCGCTATATGAAGTACTTTGTGTGCTGAGCCCTCTGCTCTTCACTCTGTACACACATGACTCAGTGCACCAAAGTAGCACTCTTGTTAAATTTGCAGATGACACAGCTGGTCTCATCTCAGCAGGGATGAATCTGTCTGCAGGATCGAGGTAGAGCGACTCACGATCTGTGTCGAGCCAAAATCTGTTGCTTTTTTTTTCCTTTTTCTTAATCTCACCTTTCACTTAAAATGGTCTGTTTGGAAGTTACTTTAAAGAGCGTTGCCTGTACCAGAATTAATATAATCCCTTTATGAAGGCTAATTTTGGTAGAATGCTGCACCAATGTAGGTGTAGTGATGGGCTCAAGTCTGCTCAAGGCGAACTTAATATTTAAGTTGCTGCAGGACCAGGTAACTGAATACAGAATCCTGGTGCCAGGGGGGAGAACCAACAAATATTTAAGTAGTATGAGCTTTCTGTTTCCATGACTTTTGAGCATGTCCTTACAGTTAAATATTTTTATTAGAATTTTCTTACAAAAAAAAAACATGAAAAAAAAGAAGAAAAAAATTAAGTGCAATTCCTCCACCAACCCCAAAAAACAACCCCAGGACTCACTATCTGCACACAAAAAAAAGAAGAAAAATTAAGCTTACATGTCACAGTGTTTGACTAGATGTAGGAAGGAAACCAAATATCTTTTAAGTCGTCAAGCTTTCCTTTTGTTATACAAGTCAGTTTTCCATTGCCATGTTGTTCAATAGTTTGATCTATTCATTTGTCTTTGGTCTTTCTGTATTCCTCCACTTCAGAGCAATCAAATGTTTAGCCTGCAAGAAGCAAAAACTCACAAGCTTCTTTCTCTTTGTAGGTCCTTTAAATCCATCTGGAAAAATGTGCAGAGGAAAGTTTACTGTCCTCTGGAACATCCTGTTCAATCATGAACATGATAACCTTCTATAAAGTTTGAAGCTCCATGCATTGCCACATGTAATGGAAAAGAGTATACTCTCATCTATATTACATTTAACATACACATCAGGAATATTTGAATTGAAATGGTAAAGTTTTACAGGAGTGATATACATTCTAAATAACCATTTGTATTGTAGTAATCTAAACCTTATGTTAATATTTTGCGTTTGAGCCGATAGACATGAGTTATTCCATTCATTCTCAGGGATTTCTGTTTTTCATGCTTGTAAATATGAGAATATTTTCTTCCAAAGCTAAAAGAAAAATATAAAATTGGGAAAGTAGGCCTCTACTCTGTTGGTAAATGACTTTATTCTCTATAGTAGAGAGTGGAGGTTCAGCAGTAACAAAGCTTCTACTCTTTAAGTACTTCAGGTGCTTTTGGGTCAGACTGTATTTGTTTACCAGTTGTTCAAAGGACATCAAGACTCCTTCACTATAAAGGTCCCCTATTTTACTTAAGTCATATTCTAAACCCTGTGGTTTGAATCTGTTATTTCCCCAAATAGGTGACAGATCTCATCTAAACCCGTATCGGAAAGGTGCCAAACTGATATTGTGTTTTAGAGAAAAAGAGTTTTGGTATTTTTTAACTTGGTTAAAATTATCTTATGTTTTAAGTCTTTGGTGTTAAATAAAGACATTAACAAAATTACATTAGACTCATTTCATCATTGTGTGTGGAACCTGTTGACAAACTTGAATTTAGTTAATATAGGGGGAAAAATTGTTGAATTAAAAAACATCAGTTGATGGAAAGCAAATTTTAGTTGTTAAAGTTACATAATTTGCTTATATTTAGTGAACAAATGCAAAATAAGTTCACTGAATGAGCGTTTGCTTAGTTAGACTAACAGTCTAGTTAGTTCAACTAATTTGTCTTGTCAAGTGATTTGATATAGTTGGGTTAATTCGATCTTAGATAAACATATGGTTATAATGTCAGATTACTATATCTTTGTTTGCTTTCATCTGAAATACAATTATGTATCACCTGTTGGAAAAATAAACTTATGTTAGGTCAAAGATTCATTTCTTTGAGTGTAGATAAGGACATGTTTGGTTTAATCACTTTCTCTAGTATTTTTGCTCTTTCACAAACATATCAGTTCACAGTAAGATGAGTGTTCGAACCTGAACTTTTCCGCCACACTCCAGCAGTCCGTACTGGAAGTACAAGTACCGGGATGTCACTTCGCTCGGTGTGCACGAGCCTATCCGGAACAGGGATGGCACGTTCCAGGCACGCAGCAGGAAGCGGTCCACGCGGACTGACACTTTCTCTGTGCCGCACCAAGCCTCCACAGCGCGTGCCACCTTATCCGGGATGCTCTTATGTTGGCGCAGCGGGGGGACGAGCAGCCCGGCCAGCCCGGCGGGCAGAGGCCCTCCGTACGGAACTGGTCGGAACAGCTCCGGTGGAACCAGCGGCATCGATGCGTGCAGGAAAACTGGCAGGCGGTAGGATGAAGGGATGGGGACGCTGTTCATAGCAGGCATCATCTCCTCTGACGACGTCGGATGGAGAACCGGGCCTCCAAGTGTGACATGAAACAGCCTCCAGAGAAGCCAGAGAAAAGCCGACATGACCAGACAACAGGAAGAGCAAAACCCGAGAAAAGTGGAACCCGGCAGGAAAACCCGTGGATCTGATGTCACAGCTCACCTGCCAGCTTCATTATCACACCTGCTGCAGGCTGATTGGCTCTGCTCTACACATAGCTGCCCCCCCTAACTGTTGTGAAGATTTGATTTTCTTCTTCTCGCATTCTTTTGGATTGGATTTTCAATCCGTTTGTTCCCTTTAAATGAATATTTGTAGCAGAAATAACCTAAATAATCATTTAGAAGGCGGAGGAATGCAAAACTTCCTGAAAGCAGAAGTGGATGAAAAATAAAATCAGGCATTGTCTCATAATAGTCACAGAACAGAGATGTTGATTATTAACCACTAACAGGGTTGTCATGGTGACATCCTGTCTGACAATAATGTAAAGTATTAAAAGTAAGTCATTAAAAAAACGCATCTTGAAGTTTGGGAAAAAGCCCTAAACACAAATACCTTCGGTGGCGAGTGGAGCTAAAAAGAACACAAATAACTTAACATATGAGAAACAAACAGCTCCTCAAACTGATATGTAGCCAAATTCACAGATTTTCCCATTTGATATGAGAATAGCAGCTACATTTCATCCATAAACTACGCTGTCTTCTGAAATAAACTCCACAGAAGTGACAAGCAAATGTGGTCATCTGTTGATTCAACTTTCTACAGAAGTGAAAAATGCAACCTATGTTCTTTCTTTCCAGTCCGTGTTAAATCCCCTCTGAGGTGTGTTCCTCTCCTCAGGCTGTGGATGCACATCAGGTCCTGACTGGGGGACAGCCGACACGTAGGGTAGATTTCTACTGCTGCTGGCAGTTAGAAGAAAAACCTTTCCAGTGATTTTACATTTTGACAAATCACTCTCAGACTTTTTCTTTTCTTACACAGCCTTTAATTTGTACTTTTTGTTAATTTTATTTAAGAGAAATGTGTAATTTTCAAATTACCATCTATGGCCCAGTCCCAATATTCACACTGCACCCTACGCCCCTCTATGAAGTGTGTACTCAAGGTGAACAAGAGTTCAATTATGTAGAAGACTTTGCTTTCCAAAGTCATTGCTGGAGATATTTAGCTGCTCAAATGTGTTTTCTTA